TCTTCTAATATTGTATAATAAATTACAAATGTATTTGCAGAGTGCCATGAATATAACCTGCTGTTTATCATAATTGATGATCCATAGGTCTTCTCAACTGCACCGTGCAAACATATAATATACTAAGATGATGTTCAGTCACACACGGTAGATGCATAATTTTACAGATGTACAACTCAAGGGCCCAATTAGAAGAACTATTTCATTCATCCTTGCCAATAATTTATGTATATTCAATTAAAATTCAACAAACAAAAATTACTGCATGCCGTCTCAACCAAGAATAATATAAAACAGCTTGCACCAGTCATACCACTCATTAAATATTTCTCAAGCCAAACTACCTCAAATGTTACATAATTTACCACTAAATGGATGCAAGATAAAAACAGAACAAAGCTTTAATGGCCTCCTGACAACAACTGGTATAAAAAGCAATTTCCATGAATGACTAATCATCATCTGTTGAAATTGCCTTCCATTTGAGTTTTAAAGTCTTTTGGGTTATGATGGCAATTGATATGATCAAAAATATTGCACATAAAAAGATACAGCGCCTTGAGGCACTCGGTGTGTCAAAATTTGGCTATTAAAATGAACACTGAGTGGACTGTTCCAAGGTCAGAAAGTATCTCACCAAACTATTGAATTAGTTTGCACTTTTACATTTACTCAGGAATCCAACTGAAAAACTCAAGCATGGAATTCAATTAAATGTGACCACGGTTACGGTTATCAGCATCAAAATGAGCTCTGCAGACTTGGCATTGAGAAATGCACACAATAAATCTACAGAAGTTTAGAGTTTATGAGAGGTTTTAAATTGAGCCATGAGGATGACGAGTTTAGAGAAAAGTATTTGAGACAATTCAGTGCTTTACTGCACAATAAACAGCTCTGAAATGTAACAGACCATAAATTAGTCTAAGGAATATTCCTTCAAATTCTTCTTTGCAGTTGGCAGGTGAATAAAAGGATTTTGCTATATAGTTTAAAATAATCAGTCTCCATGGGAGCTGGAAAACATGAGTTTATGATTTTGCTTTTGTTTTATCCAAATCTAATTTGCTAATATTGCTGTTGTATATGCAGGATTCCCATACATTTTCAACAATTCATTTCCATTTGTAACATGCATGATACTTTCAAATGATTCCATGACAGTTGGGAACCCTGCATATGAAATTATTTTAAGGTCTTGCCATTTTGTTTCATTTCAAAGGTTGCTGAGTATCCATGAATAAAATCTCTTTCAATGTGTTGACTGTGACAGCGACACGAGTGGTAGCATGCTGACATCACCCTATATCAATACAATAATCCACAAATACATCTGGAAACTGTCCAGTTCATTATTATTCTAATAGTGGGTCATTGGAAAATTATTCCGTTTTTAAACCACTATCAAGTCACTGTTCCTCATTTCCCCCATTCAAGTTACTGTTCTCCATGTTCGTGGACTGTTTGTGAACATTATCATTCTGAATGGCCTTTTTATCTAGAGCGTCTAGAGGACATTGCGTTTCCTTCTGTGCGTTCAGTGAGCACTTGGATACTGCGCTGGCCACCTGGCAGAACTTCCTTAGGAGAATCTCTCTCAGAAGCAGGTAAACCCATGGATCTAGAATCTGATTGAGCGAGGCCAGACGTATGGCTGTGAGAAAGAAGTTACAGTCCATCTGTAAGTCCTGGGGTGAGAGAGATACAGCAGCAGAATTGCATTGATGCGACGATGTGTGGGTAGAGATCATCTTCAACATAAGGATCTGCAGAATGAGAGGAGACAATGGCTATATTATATGAATATTGTTTTCTTTAAAATGAAGAAAAAATATGCATGTGCTTATAGACTTATACGATTGCTTAACAGATTTCCATAGGATTCTAAATGGCAGTTATTTGCTAAATGTACACCCCTTCAGGTTTTTTTTTACATTTTTTTATATATATTCCGTCTAATATCACTTTTTAGCTACTAAAAATTCTGTACTCTCAGTTCCAGGTAATGCTATGTTATAAATATGATTTTAAAAATATGTTTTAATATATTGATATCAGCTTATTTTGGATATGTGTTGACTAAAATTGGACATTTAATTGTGCAGTAATGTATTTCCCCTATTCTTACATTTAGATCACCTTTGTTATCATCAAAAACACCTAATATTTAAAACCATGTAATTTAATAACTGTTACATTTTATCTTTAGCAGATCTCAAAATGAATTTCCATTTTTTCATACTCTACATGATAACGTTAACGCTTAAAATTTCAGATTACTCATTTTTTGGGGGTGTTATTTTTTTCTAATTTATTTAAGCAAAATTGTACAGAATTTAAACATCTGCCATTTATCGTTATCGGCCATAACATCATAAAAAGTTTCAACCCATTCTACAAAACTCAGTTTGTTTTTTTCCTCCCACAGTCAGAACGTATGAATTTGCACAATCATGTGGGCCTAGTTGTGAAACGACATGACTGGGAAGAAATGACATTTTTGGAAAATGTCAAATCATGCCAGCAACTTTTTTAGATTGACAAAAGAGTCATTTTTGGAGAGAGCCTAGGCAAAAATCCCAGGGTAAACAGTAACTAATCTCAAATAACTGCTCAAAAACATACTGAAAATACAAGTAGTGGCCCTCCAACATGTACATTGCTAGTCAAACAGCCGGCCTGTTGAGTTCACCCTTACATAAGAATTCATTTATTCTGTTTAATCCAATTTAGATAGACAGGCTTTTGTAGCTGAGCACACTTAAGTTTGAGCAGGAATGACACCGTGCATGCTTTCATCTGATAACTACAGTAAGTGTATCTGGCAAAAGCTGATATGATACATACCAGTAGAGGTGACCAGCATGTCAACAGCACACACATAATGCCCATCAACTGAATAACAGTCTCTGTTGTTAACCTCTCCCATTGCTTGGAAGACTGGGTCGAGGTTGTCTTCGTTTTGCAACGTATAACCAAAGCACGGATGGTCACAACGTTACACGACAACGTGACCAGCAAAGAAAATATCCCTAATGCTGCAAAGGTCGTGGCAAAAAACGTATTTCCCGTTACGTTCTTGTCACCTGTACTTATGAAGCACCAAGTCCCTGGCCACTGCAAAGTGTACTTTCCAACCCCAGCGATGGGCAATAAGGCAAATAGCAAAACGAGGCACCAGATGAAGACCAGAACCTGCTTGGTCACGTTGGTTTTCATGTAGTGTGAGTACCAGTGAGGAGCAGTGATGGCCAAAGCCCTCTCAATGGCCATGGCACTGGCTAAAAAGAGAGGACACAAGCCAAAAGTGGTCATGCACACCCCAAAGAAAGCGCACAGAGTTCCCGAAGGGTCCACGCGTTTCCATTTCAGATCTGCTCTGTACACCGAAATGACAATCGGGCTTGTGAGCAGTTGGCCGAAAAGATCAGTTAACGCCAACGAGCCGATGCAAAGGAGAAACGATTTCTTCCTTTTATGTTCCTTTTTTCTGTATGCGCTATAAACTAGCAGCATCGCGAGAGAGTTTCCGACCATTCCAGTGACCATCATAGTGATGGGGAAAAACACGGACACAGTGCCACAGCTGGCGCTCTTGCCCGCGCTGTCCCGTGAAGCTTTGGAAAGGTTCGAGTCCCACATCATGGTTCCAGCAGTTAGGTTTTGTGGCAGGACATCCGAAGACTGACATTTAGATGTCATCCTTTTTCAGGGAGGGTGTTCATGGCAACAGTAGCCCTTTGAAACAGGTGGAGTCCTCAGCGAAGTCTGCTTCACTTTGTGCGCTCGGCTGTCCGAGAGCACGCTATTAACACAGAGGCGGGACCCTTATGGAAATGTAAAACATGCTCAGAAAGACAACAGAAAAATAGTGCAAGATGCACAAAGAATATCTTTACTTCAACACAAAGGGAAAAAGTTGTTAGACTTCATGTTCCCGGTTTTTCTGTACATGCGTTACCTCACAAAATAGTATACCGTCATCACCCCCAAGCTGTGGCAACAAATTAATTCCTGTATGACTATAGGAATTTCAAAAAAAGATACACTCGTGACCAAATATAGTTATAACAAACGGTGTAGCGAGAGCGTGTAATTCAGCCTACGATAACTTTCAGCGGGTTTACGGTTTATTTTTTACAGATAGGATTAACTAAATGACCGCTAAACGTTAAAGCAAAACACTAATTGTTTTTGTGATAGGCAAATTTCCAAAGAAGGGATAAATAATAATGGTTCAAGTTTTATTCAATGATAATCCCCCACACCACCAGCTCACAGATGGTTTGGAACGCAACAAGTGCCACCTAGCGCACGAGAAACGATCATTTCAAACCTTATCAGTGTCTGCAGTAAAGGTGTATTTTTGCTAATCAGCAATCGTTAGTAAATTCATACACGACTCATAAAATGTTACTCCATAAAATAGACATGGAAAGAAACAAACTGAACAAATGCTTCAGATTAATATATAATTTTACAAACATCACTAGATTTCCCCACAAGCAGCAGTGCGGGATCTAACGTCAGCCTTCACCGGTTTTGCTTGCAGTAATCCAGTAAAAAAAAAGAAGAAAAAAAAAAAAAAAGTCGGTTTAAAAACGCAGAGATAATTAAGGCGCACATTTGGGGGAAGAAATCTCAAATAAGGCCTCATGCAATGCAGCAACTTGGAAAGACAAATACAGTGCAACAAATATTTCAGATTAACAGGTGTTTATTCATGTTGGTTACACATGTAATTATAATGAACAGTAAAACATTTTCATATTTTGTATGTTAGAAGGGGGTGGTGGGTGGGTGTGATTATTTCACATGTTCCAAATTTGATTTGAACACAGAAAACTATACCAGTAATTTATTTTATCAGTAATTTGAGTTTGTCTATAGTTTCTTAGTTCCACAAATGATGAATCATAAAATTAAGAACCAAGACAAAAATACTGACAAAAAGGACGCACAAATTTCACATTTCATCTGTCTTTCCAGAAGAAAATAAATCTCTACAAGCATAGAAAAAAAAACATACTTACCTTTAATGCACAATTAGACAAGGCAATGTTACACCTCAGAGGCTCTCTATTAGATGCTGGCATTGCTTGACGTGGTTAAGCCATCAACATTGCTTGTGAGGTATTTCATATACAAGAACCATAAAACCAGCATCCAAGTATTTATTTTTTTTTTAATTAACAAATGTTTTGTTAATGAACTGGTTGTTCTGATGGCAATAATGTCTGACAATAGATGAATACAACTATTTCTGCGATGTAATTTGCATAATTTCCCATCAAAATGGTTGATGTCCAGAAGATATGTGCCAATCAGTCACAGACTTGATGTTATTTCTCTATAAACCCACTGACACTACAGACTATACACCTCGAGTTATACTGTTAAGAGATCTGGCTAGATGTTATATAAAAAAAAAAAAAAAAAAAAGGCAGAAAACTTTTGAGAAGAGGTTATGTGAACAAGTGCGCAAGTATTTTTTTCATAGAAATCAATGTGAATTCAAACAGTTGAGTAGTTGCAATAGCCCCAAAAAAACTGGAGTTTAAAAATCAAACCAAAAAAAAAACATGCAGTTCTAGAAAGATTTGTTTCTTTTGTTAATCATTTCTGTTTTGAGCTTGAGCCAGAGTGGGATGATCCAGATGAGCCTCTGCGCCTACAAAGAGATAGAAAGAGACAAAGAGAAAGACCATGACCGATTAAAAGATTTGGTTCTTGAAATCAAAACAAAGCATAAAAAATGTACTGCACAGAGAAAAGCACAATTTTGTCACATCGTTTCAAAAATGTATTGTTATCACTGAGCCCTGTGTATAATGCAGAAGGACGCCTGGTATCCAGGCCACCATGTGTTACACCAAACCTTTCAGACGAGTGCGATCGTGCGCGTCTTTTTTTGTGGCCACCAGAGGAGGACCTGGAACGACTCCTCTTCTGGCCTCCCTCAGGCGATGACGAAGGGGAGCGAGACCTCTTCTTTGAGGAAGCAGAGCCCTTTCCTGACCTGGAGCTGGATCTTTCAAAGGGGATAAATAAGCATTCACATGAGGTCAACAAATATCATTACACAGATTACTATAATATAACATTATCAAAGGGACTGACATGGGAGGAAAACATCCACCCACAACTCCCAAAATACTACAGTATATACCACAACTTCTGAAAGAGACCAAAACTGCATGTCTGACCAACTGAACTTTCAGCAGAACAAAGCTGAATCAGTCAGTACAACTTACAGCTCTAATTGCCTGTTAGGTGTTACCAGATAAATTGAGACCTGGGACACTGAATAATGAATAACAGCTCCAAAAGAGCAACATTTTCTAAAAGCACAAGAAAGCTCTTGACATCTATGCTGAGAACAAAAAGTCAAAAAAATCCTGTTCAAACATTCCCAAAGAGATAAAGCTACATCTCACTGCTCCCCACGTCACCCTCATTTTATTAATCATTTGTTTTACGGTGATCAAAATCGACTTCTGTTCCAAGACTTAGGACAAAGAGTTCATTACAAGCACTGGCTGTTCATACACACTCTTTCCTGGAGAGTGCATGTCACCTCATTCACCTGGAGTTGGACCTGGAGCGAGAGCGAGATCTGGAACTGGATGAGCTCCTGGACCGGGATCTGCTAAACACCGACATCCCCCAAAAAAACAAAAAAAAAAACAAAGACAAAAGAAAAAAGAAAAAAAAAAAAAAAACAAAAAAAAAAAAAAAAAACCCCAGACACCAACAGCCTACTATGGTTAATTATTTAAATAGTAAATACTTAACTAGTTAACTACAAATTAAGTTAATTATTAATGGCATAATAATTAAATAATGCATTCAATATTTTGGCATTTTTTAAATTTAATTTAAAAATGAAATTTTTCAAACACTGCCTAAAAAAGGACACATCAAAAGGAGAGTTTTAAGTTATCTTTACCTGCAAGCTGCTAAAGGCAACACAGACTTGTTGCTGCTGTAGTTTTGTTACGTTCATTGCTACAGTTATCTCATCACCGTCAATCGCGGATCAATTGGGTGGATTCACTAGCGTAATTTTTTACACTCGCATTTATCATTCCTGAAACACTATACCAGTAATTCATCATGCTAATAATTAAA